TAAATGAATTAATTACCTGCTAAACCTGCTTCGTGCAAATCATTAGGTTCAGGCCCAATTTGTAATAATCATAGCGACGAGGGTCAAAAGATTGATCATTAGCGTTCGGTGGCAATCGGAGGCGTTCGAGGGCGATCTGAAGCGACGTTGCAGTACTTTGTGCTCAGTGCAAAGCATTTGGCTGTAATCTTCATGTAACACATTCACGTGGACATCTTTCCTTCTTTAATGAGCTAATCCACAGACACCGATGTCGATGGTTATGTTCATACCGACAGCTGTTGTCGTTAGTTGGGTATAAATTAAAAGGCAGCATTTGGCCGAGTGTGCACATAGATACTATCTGTATATACATATATATATATATGAATGGGGACTATCGTCCCGAGCCTGCTCCTGGCGCTGGGGCAGCTTTTGCTGTTAGCCTGGCCTGTTTCGGTAGCCGTGCTGTGCTGGAGGTGTCAAAGTTCACTTTGATCGTTCACCTGATCGTGCCGAACAGGGTTTTGCTCTAGTTTCGAGCTTTTGCGTAGCCTTCGGCCGACGCAATGGCTAAGGGTTCGCCTGCAGCTGTGCAGGACCAGCCTTGCCGAAGAGTTGGGAACTACTCGCTAGATGGCCTGAGTGTTGCTTGGGAAAACAGACACATCATAAGGGAACGATTGAGAGCCAAGAACAGCTTGCTGGTGCAGTATGACACCAAGCTTGGTGTTGAACTTGTGCCAAGCAAAGGACATATCTCCAGGAGTATACCCAATCTTCGTGCGAATGACATGGTCTTGACTCCAGTTCTGCAGCTTATGAGGCAGAACGATCTTCTTCAGCCAAATCTTGACAGGCTCATTTCTCAGGTTGGAGAGATATACCGGCGCAACTCTGTCCCCGTAAAAGATGCTGGTGACGTCTTTTACCACAATGCCTGGTCCATCCGCCAACTCGGGAGCCTTCTGAAAGCTGAACTTGCCCGAGCAAACGCAGACGTACACAAAGGGACATTCAAACGCAAGGACGGTCCGTCTTATAGGTGTCAAACATTTTTGTAGGGAGACTTTGGTTGTGACTTGCGAAAAACTCCAGAAGATTTAGGTGCGGGCCCACGTGCAGGACCCCAAGATGATGGAACTGTTGCGGGATGTTGGCTTTCTGGACCCCGAGGCTCTCGCAGGATTGTCGCGCGTGTAGGGGTATCGGTTTAATACCGCTTGCCAGGAAGGCCAGACCTCTCTCAAGGACAAGGTGGGATTAGGCTGACTCATGGCCTCGGCCTCAGATTGTGGACGTTCAGCTGCTTCTTTGGAGGACGATGACACCGCCGATGCTCAGGCGTTGGCTGACACTGAGGCTTGGAACTTGCTCGCTTGGTCTGAAGCTGTGCCGACGTCAATGTTCCCAAACCAGCCAGAAGATTGGCGCACTTGCACCGGCAGGAAGCCGCAAATCGTGCAACGGCTTCTGTCGAAGACTCTCAGGCCTTATGGCATTTTTGCATCCACATGTTCCACACAGGCAGTACAGGGAATTCCTTCTCACGGCAGGTGCCCGTGACCTCAATGGTTTCCGAGACAGACATGGCTGTAGACTCAGTTTCACGCAACTATATAGTATACTATATTAGTGAATGATTATGGTGTTTCGCAGGAGCCCCCTGCTGCAGTACTTGATTCAGCTCGTGGGGAGACTAACGACCAGGCCTCGCTTGAGCTCTGCGGCGTTTCTGAGTTGTCACCCAAAGTTTTCGAGTCTTCTGCTGCCGCAGGTCATGGCTTCAGCTGCTCACGAAGATGATCCTGCGGAGGACGACCCGTGTGACATTGTACTTTTGTGTTATAGCGAGCTTACAAGCCTTTATTCTGCTACAGCGACAACAGGCCCCGGACGGCAATCTGGACGGTGAGGCTGTGGAGGCTGCTGGCAGCCTCTTGTGAGTTTGCGGCCTGTCCAATCCTTGTGTTCGATGGGACGCGCAGGCGATTATGTCTTCCCAAGAGGAAGCTGAGACCGCTTCCGCCGAAGATCTTCTTCGGCACTTGGAGCAGTTGAAAGCTGTGCTATCGAAAGCGCTCTTCGGCCGATACTAACCAAAAACCGTTTGCGAGAGTGAGTGCTTCTTTCTGAATCTCTCCTTCTCCCTAGCAGTCCTTGGGTGTGAGTGGGTGGATGGGTGGGTGGTTGGGTG